TTCTGGTCTGGTCCTTGACTCGGGGCTGACATGAGATGCGCCGTCAGTGCAGAGTACATGCTAGGTTTCAACACTTGATACTCAACATGCCACATACCAAATCAGTGCTTCTCTCCTGGTTACACGCTGAGACGTCATACTTTGGATATTAGTGTACATAAAGTACAGTATAAAAGTTGGCTTCATGTGCCACTTTCTTCCCTTGTCGTGGCAGCTGAGACACTTAGGTCACTGCCCATGGGACAACGTTGTCCACAAGGCATGGTCAAGTTCAAGGTGATTCCTGTGCTCTAGCACCCAACGCACCCGTAGCTGCTTTGCTGGGACACAGCCCTGCTCAGGCTGGCACTGTCTTCTGCCGCTGCTGAAGGCCTGTAATGCCCTGGGTCTGTACCATGTGCCTGCTCTGTGTCCTGGGGCAGAGGGCCTCAAGCTGGCTGGTGGCACGGGGCACCAGGTGCAGGCTGTGCTTCCCTCTCCAGCTATACCTTGCAGGGTGCACTGGCTCACCAGGTCAGCCAGGGGACCAAGGCACAAGCCAGTGTCTGGGTTAGGCCAGGGCCTCTGAGCTCAGTCCTGATTCCTTTTTGCTGCCCAGTTTGGGGAGGATGCTTGGTGACTGGGCCCTGTGAAGTGGATTTCTAAGTGCTAATGAGTGAGAGCCCTAGGGTCTCAGGCAGAGGGGGGGCACTCGCCACCCACGGTGGCTGGAGTGGGTGTGCATGGCAATGGGGCTGAGGTCTGTGGTGAGGAGCAGGAGACCCCTTGTGGGACAGGTGGTGCTGAAGACATCCAGGCCTCGCTGCTTCCCAGCTGCAGCGGATGCCGAGGGCTACTGAGCGGTTCCTGAGAGATCAGCAGAGACTCATCTTTGTTCTGTTAAAATTCACATGACAGAAGTTACCATTTGAACCATTTTAAGCATCACAGGGCATGGGATGAAATATGTGCAAATAGCCTCACCACCTAGGCCCAGGACGTTTTTCATCAAAAAATGCTTTTTAGTGTGAATCTCCAGAACTTTGGCTTCTCATCGTGTTCTTCAGCAGTGTCCTGCAAGAAAGGTTTTCAGAGTAAATTATCTTGAAGAAGGCTGGGTTGATCAAAGCCTCATGGGGCTGCAGGGAGGGGACAGTGAATATCAGCCTCCCCGAGGCCCCTGTCTGCACAGAGCACTCTGGGGCTGGAGTGTGTCCAAGGAGTGTCTTCGGGAAACTCCACCCACGAGTCCTTGGGGGGTGGGGAAGCGGAAGGATGGTGTCTCAGGTGAGTGTTTTGAGAGGACAAGCTCCCTGCTCCCTGATTCGTGGTGGAGTGCAGAAAGCCCTCCCCACTCACAGCGCCCCCTTTTGGAGAGAGCTCTTCCAGTTACAGGGCCCAGAGGTTCTAAGACCCGTGGCATAGATGGTCTGCTTGATGTTGGCCACAGCCAGAGGAAGGCCTGATGCATTTGCTTCTCCTGGAAGCAGTGCAAAGATCATGGGCCTTGTTGTGAGCACGGTGGCCAGGCTGCTCCTTGCTCTGCCTAGGGGAGCCTCGTCCCAAAGCTCTATGAGGCCCCCCAGGTGAGTTATACTTTCTCTCTCTCTCTTTCTCTGTATTCCTTGGGTGTCAGCTCCTGTGGCCAGGATGCAGGAGTCAGCCCATATGTCAGTAAGCACTGGTCTGGTGACACTAGGTATGAAATGTGGAGGAAGTGTGTGTCCCCTTTAGGTTTCCCTCAGGACATAGCCTATATGACATCATCTCTAGATATGGCTTACCAGGCAGGAAGAGTGGCTGATTTTCTGCAGTCACTGAGATGGAACCTAAAATGATAAATGGTGAAGAAGAGAGGGCCCTGGAGTTGAGCTACCCGGTTTCAGGAGTCTGTGGTTTTGGGTACACGGGTTCTTCCACATATGCAGAGACCCTTGAAGGGACCATAGCTCACTGGGGGAGACGGACCAATGAACCCTGGGCCTGTGCTTCCACTCAGACCTCTCTGCAACCTGGAAGCCCATGACTGTGCCTGCCCTGATTTACTCAGTATGGGAGTAATGTGGTCTGAGAGAGAGAGAGAGGAGTTAACAAGAGTTCACGCTTGCTGACACCAGCATGAAGGGCTTTTGAAGGGTTTTGCTGAGACACAACTCACATCCCACTCACAGAACTCATTTCAGCTGTTTCCTGTGTTGCATTGTGCAGCCCCCTACAATCCACAGTGGGGTCGGCTCCCTGTCCCTCTCCCTTAATCAAGACCATGCCCAACCAGCAGTCCTGCTGGCTCGCTCAACCACCCAGGGCCTCTGCCATGTACTGAATCCCCTGAAACTGTGAGCTCCATCCAACTTCACCTTCAAGTGATATTAGATATTCTGTCTCAGTGATAGGAAAGCCGACAAATACAGAAAATTGATACTGACATGGGGTTGAAATCCACAGAGGTATATATCCATTAGAGGAAGTGTTAAAGAGGTCAGCAGCTCTGGGCAATGGGCATAGAAAGGAGCTGGCACAGCGGAAGCTCTTGCCACCCCTCACAGCACATTTCTGGTTGGTGTGGTTGTCTGCAAGGTCAAAGTCTCGGAAGTGGGGTCTCAGGGTATTTTGTAAATGTGGCGCCTACAGATCCCGCCCCCCAGACTCACCCTCCAGCTGTCAGTTTATGCGAGCAACATTTGGGTGCGGGCTGGTGGTGCAAGCCTGTCAGGTCTGGGTCAGAACCCTGGTTTGCCACTGTGGCCTGCGGGGTCCCCACTGACCCAGGCCTTCTTGGTTGTGGTGAGCCCTTACATCCTTGGGTGTGTAAACTGCGTTCTTCCCCTGCTGGGCAAGGACTTCTGCCCTCAGCCTGGGCTCATGACCTTCTGCCCTCACTGGGCCAGCTAGTCCCAGGCGCGCCTGCGCCTGGCATTCCTCTCCCTTCCTGGACAGCCTGCATCGGAAGGTGAGGGCTCAGAGTGCTCCTGTTAAAGTCTGCGTGCTTGGGGACTGAGCAGAGCAAGTTGCAGGGACTGAGCTGGGGACAGCTGGGCCAGGCCAGGCTGCAGGCAGAGGACAAAGACCAGCGATGATGGTGTGATGGTTTGTTCAGCCCTGAAGGGGAGTCCCAGCCATTGCAGGATGGCAGCGGATCTCCAGACTGTGAGTGCAATTAGCCTGCCATGGAAAAGGAGATCGGCACACACAGTTTTTCCTACTGCGAAATTCAAACCATGGATACATCAAAAAGTAAACTACAGGAGTGGTGGCGGGAACCAGAGAGGCAGACTCTTTGGAGATGGGAGCAGGTCCCATATGATCATCCCATGACCCACAGGCGCCTGTCCGTCCACGTGACAGTGAGTTTTGTATACTGCAGACTTTTCCACAAATGAGCAAGCCTGGCCCTAGGCCCGAGGCAATTCCTGCTGGCCTCTCTAAAAGACTCGGGTTTGGTGGGGCTGGTCAGTTCCCGTGGCTGTGGGATTTGGGATTCCTGTCCCAGCCCTTTCCCTGCCCTCTCCTGCTGGATCCCACCCTGGGCTGCAGAGTGAGAAGGCCTCACTCACTCCGGAGCTTCAGGATCTCTGGGCAGGTACCAGAGCTAGGGGTCCCCAGGAGCTAGGTGGATGTGACCGTTGGAGTACACAGGAGCTCACAACACAAGTCTTAGGGCCACAGGATTATTGGGGGGTGCCACAGACATAGAATTGGCCACGGGGCCCGCTGACATCCTACGATTCATGTTGCTAGAACGCTGCCACGGTGGAGCCACGCTTCACTCCTGCACCGGAGAGTCCCCATAAAAAGAACCTTTTTTGTCCTGGGATCTCTCCCTCAACCCAAAATGATTAGCATGCAAACCCTTCTGTGTCTGCTTTTGGGCCACGTAACAAAGATGTCCACTGAGTGGTTTTGGAAATAACTGGCAAAGAGTAGGAGAGCAGAGACTCCAAGGACTGGACAGGTCACAGCTGCTCCTCCTCCCCTTCCTGGCTTCTCAGCCAACACTGACGCCTTCCTGGTGTGGAGAATGTGGAGGATGTTCCCTTTTAGGGGAAGGTGAGGAGTGGCGTAGAGACCCAGAGAAGCACAGGTGTTCTAAAAGGTTGTCTGTTCACTGCAGTTCTCCCCTAGGGATCCATAATTAATGTGTCAACTTGGCCAGGAAAGCGTGCCGGACTAAGTGTCATTCCTGGATGTATCGGGAGGCCGTTTTCCAGGAGACCAGCGTTTGACCTGGGGACTGAGTCAGCCATCACTCTGGGCTGTCTGGCTCCATCCAGGCCAGCAGTGATGATGAATCCAGCTGCATCTAGCCTGAGTGCTGGAGGGATTGCTAGGCAGCCTCTGCTTTCCTTATAACCCTGTTGACTGTGAGTCCCGAACTCCCCAGCACCGTGACAGCTGGCAGTCACCACAATGATGACCCAAAAGAACCACAAAGGGCAGAAAGAGATGGTACCTGAATTCTGGGAGAATCTCTGCCCATCCCTAAAAGTCACCAACATTTCTCACTGTGTGAGCCTATCCTGCCCTCCTTGCTTTCTGCTGACCTAGGTGATTTTTACTGCACTTGATTCTGTACATTTGTTTTCGTCTCTACCCATACTTTTTCTTTTTTTGTTTGTTGAGACAGGGTCTCCCTATGTTGTTCCTGCTGGCCTCAAACTCACAGAGATCCTCCTGCCTCAGCCTCCCCTGTGCTGGAGATACAGGCATGTGCCACCACTCCCAGCCCTACACATACATTTTTATTGTGGTAGCATAATACATAGTATAAAAATTTACTACTTTGTTTTAAAGTGACATTAAGTACATTCATGCTGTTGTCCAATTGGTAAAAATATAAAATGGAAAGAATATAGCATGAATATTTTTGTTATTTTATTATTTATTATCAGTTAGTTTTAACTAGTATATACAATCATTAAAAATGCACATCTGAGGTAACATGATGTTTCAGGATATGTATACACTGTGTAGTGTTTAAATCTGAATAACTATTTCCTCAAACACATCATTTCATGTGGTAATTTTCTTTTTTTTTTCTAGCTCCAAAGACCCTTTACTGAAATCAGCATGTAACATTTTAGTCCTCCATTTGAATAAATTTCAGCTCTGCTGATGGCTGATGAGGTAAAGGATTCACAGGGACAAGAACTCTTCCCAGCCACAAAAGAGGTTCCAACTGACCACTGCGGACGTCCTCAGGGCTGCTGTCCCATCTTCTTCTGGCAACCTTGGTGTCTGAGGTGTGGATCATGTCCTTATTGATGTAGAAGTCCACCTCAGAAGCAGACTGGAACTCGCCGTCCAGGGTGGAGATGCCACTGGTCCACACTAGGTTCTTCATCTTGTGCTTGAAGACAAGCAGCTGAATGCGGAACTCCTGCTCAGTGAGGTCCAGGAAGCCAGCCAGCTTGGCCACAGGCATGGTGGTGTAGAGCTTGAGGAAGCTGCGGATGGTGAGAGCTGGGCCTGCTGCTGCACCTCGTTGGAGAACACCTTGAGCTGCTGCAGGAAGGGCTCCTTGTGGTAGTTAGGGTGCACGTTGTCCATGGGTGACAGGAACTTGGGGCAGGAGTAGCTGAAGAGCTCCTCGTAGACCTGCGGGTCGCCCTTCTGCATGCGCAGCATTTTGTCCCCATACTTCTCCCGCAGCTGCAGGTGGATGCTCTCGTCCATCCGCATGGGGTACCTGGTGAGGGCGATGGCCAGCAGCGCGTGCATCTGCTCGTTCTGCTTGTTGATCATCTCATACTTGTACGTGGTCCTCTGGAACATGCTCTTGGTCCTCTGGATGTAAAGGAGGATGTTGGCAAAGACCCAGATGGCATCCTGGTAGCGTCGCATCATCAAATATGCAAACCCCACATAGTAGTAGGTGGTGACCTGGCACTCGGGCACACGGGAGTACATACTCTTTTTGTTCAGCTCAATGTTCTCCAGCACCTTGATGGCCTGGTAGTAATCCCCCAGCAGCGAGTGCAGGTGCAGCAGTCCCACTAGGCTGAAGTAGCCCAGCATCTTGTAGAGGGAGTGACATCCATACTCCCCTGCCACACTCTCGGGGTCACCTCCGCTCGTGTACACCTCCAGCTGCCGGTTGATGTTGGATTTGTCCACCAGGGAGTGAAGGATGTTGAGGACACTGTGGACATTCCAGATTTTGGGGTTGGATCACAGGAAATCAATCTCCTCCTCTGACTTCTTGGCCGTCTTACAGTGGTACTGACTAAATGACTGGAACTGGTACATAAATTCATCGATGATATCCCAGAGCCACTGGTTGGGCAGTTTAAGGGGGGCAGGCCCATCTGCACTGAGGATGTAGTTGAAGAGGTTGCAGTAGTTGTAAGAGGACTCAAACCTCTGCTGTAAGGAGGGTCCCCCTCTGACTTTGGCATATATGTGTCTGTAATATAATTCTTTGTACAAAATCAGGAAGACAGCATCGTTGCCAACCTGTGGAGCTATGGCTTCGGCCTCAGGCCAAGTAGTATTGTTAAAGAATCTTTTAGTCAGCTTGGTCCAGCTGTTCTCATAGATGTCCTGGATCTCATACACCTTCTGGTCAATGACATCACTAGAGATGCGACTGGCCTGAAGCTCGTATACCTTCTGGTCAATCAAATCTGAGACAGTTTTGTGGAAATAGTGGGTGAAGAGTTTTTGATCACTTCAGGGATCACCTGATAGGTCTGTTGTTCATACTCATGTTCATAAGCAAGGTCCTGCTTTGGATCTCCTGTGTGCATATCATAGTTGCCAGGGTAAGCGTAGGGATCGTAAGCAGCCTCAGACTCATAGTCATCAGCTGGATAAGACATGGCTGCGGCACGAGTGAACCACCAGGTAATTTTCAAAACCCTTTCTTCTAGCTCTCTAAGGATGGGATAGAATTTACTGCTAAAGTACTTGGCCTCAAGTTTTAAATTACAGATTCTGTCTCCTTCTGTTTCTGTCTCTGCCTCTGTCTCTTTGTGTCTATCGCTGTGTTTCTGTCTCTGTCTCTCCATCTCTCTTTGTCTCTATTTCTGTGTCTGCCTCAAAATGTCTCTCTCTCTCTGTTTCTCTCCATCTCTTTCACTGTCTGTTTCTCCATCTCTGTCTCTCCATCTCTCTCTGTCTCTTTCTTCTCTGTCTCTGTCTCTGTCTCTGTCTCTGTCTCTATCTCTGTCTCTGTCTCTGTCTTTAACCACACATAGGGCTGTTCAGAGCTTTTGTTTCTTGTTGTGTTAGTTTTGGTAATTTCGTCTTTTGAGGAATTAGTGCATTCATTGAAGTTGATGAGTTTATACTATCTGAATACCCACCCAACACCTTTAGGATCCAAAGGCAATGAGTGAGCACCCTCCCTCTGTCACTTAGCAAGGGGTGGATTCAGTGAGAGGTGCCCGTCTCCATGTCTCCATGGATGTGACAGGCAGGTGTCCTCACACCACCATGGGGCCACAGCCCCATGATGCTCCGGTCACTGTGGCAGCTCCTTCCTCACCTTTCCCCCTGACATCTCCTGGCTGTGTATGTCACTCGAGCCTGCCCTCGCCCTGTGGAATTGCCTCTGGGTGCTTGCACAAGGGGGCATCCAGCTGTCCCTTTGAGGAGGACACGGGGCACAGTGGTGCATCATCATAGTAGGTCCTGCTCTAATGATTTATCTTGATTCTCTCTGTAAAGATCCTAAGTAAGGGTCACTTTCCAGGGTGGGGTGGGGGTTAAGACCTCAAAGTGAGGGACACCATTAAATGCAAAACAGCCCCTTTCCGAGGCTCTCTGGGCTTAAAATATTGGCACATTTTCTGTTTTTAGACGTGAGCTTTCATCACCAATACTGGGGAATAAGAACTGCCTGCCTGGTGGCCTATGTCACTGCGCTGCTGATGTAATGCCAAGCACTGGTAACAATAAGCAACACAATTTATTGAGGCATGAGTATGAGTTAGGAGCTCTTCCTCTAAGGCCTTCTAATGATACGCTATCGTTTAATCCTCTGGTCTACTCTGTGGGCTAAGGACTGAAATTTATTTATTTATTTATTTTTGGTACTGGGGATTGAATTCACGACCTAGTGCTTGCCGGGCAGGCACTTATGCCGCTAAGCTAAATCCACCAGCCCCCAGGACTGCAGTTTATGTTTTATCGGTGAAGAAACAAAACCACAGAGAAACTGTGAGTCTTGATGTTGCTATGCCAATATCATGCCTGCCTCCAAAGCCAGGGCCTTTGCTCCTCTCAGATCAAGGAATCCCTTCGGTCTTCCCTGTCTTCTCCAGCGTGAGATAAAAGGGCGCTTAACTCAGATCTCAGATCTGTGACCCTAGGTTGATCCATATTGGCTTTTAGAAAGAAAAGAGTCCACTTGTGATCAAATTGTGTCCTTTACTGAAGACCTGGAAAAGAGAGAACTGGGAGAGATTTCATTAGAAGGCATTTTCTACAAGGCTTCTTGAAAAAAATTACAGAGTTCTCCACTGATTCACAATCTTTGGGTTTGGACCGGAGTCACACGCGTTCACTCGAATCCTCTGAAGGCTGTGATGATTCCATGACAGTTTCGAGACCTGTGGGTGGTGAGATGACCATTATTATCTGTGACATAAGAGCTGTGTCCTGGGCCACTGAGTCAGAACAACACCACCAACCCACAGACACGTTAGCTCAGAGTGGGACCACAGAGAAACCTCGCTGAGAAAGTAGCACCTGCTCTGTCCTGGGGTTCCAGCTGGGGGTGTGTGCCATGGCTCACAGGGTATCACAGGTGACATGAGCTACAGCCATGCTAAATGGAGACACTGTCCCCCTCCAAGGGACCCGTGAGTCCTGCATGTCCTCGGGCAGAAGAGCTGTGCAATGCGCCTGGGGTGCAGAGCCGCCTGGGTAGGCAACAGCCTCACTGATGGACGGGTCGTTTTCCTCCTAGGTAACCGCCTGGTGTTTCCTTTCTCATGTTGTGAGTCCACTGCACAACACTGTGTATTCTTAAAATGTGGGGGCGTTTTGAAAAGAGGTTCCTCATCAAACTAAATAAAATCTGTATTTCAAGCTACAGCCAACTGTTCCTGGAAAGCACGGGAATTAGAAAGAAGGGCTGATAGAGGGTAGTCTCAGCCACCCGGCAACTCTGAGCACCAGGCTCATCTGTGTCCACGGGGTCAGCCAGGCTCCTAACTGCCTCTGCCCCTGCTGCTCACAATCAGATTTAGAGCACCTGGCTGACCTCTCAACCTAGGTATCCCCATCTCTGGTCTTGCTCTCTTCTCGGATTCACCTCTATTCTCCTGCCAGAACGACGATGGGGACAATGTGGTGGACGCCTCCCCGGCCCTGGAAAACAGCCTGCTGCTGGTGCTCTGCTTCAGTAGGCCACAGCAACCCCACTCCCTTTGCCATTGTGGAGTCCAGAGCCGGGCTTGAGGCAACTTAGAAGATGGGCAGTGAAGAGAGGGTTCCTGGGACTTGTGAGGAGGAGGATGAGAAGCACGAAGAGGAGGAGGGGGAGAGGAAGAGGAGGATGAGTGCCAGGAGGACAATGAAGAGGAGGAGGAGGATGAAGGAGGGAAGGGGGAGGAGGAGGGGGAAAGGAGAGGAGAAGGGGAGAGAAAAGGGAGTAGGGAGGAGGAAGAAGAAGAAGAGGAAGAGCTGTGTTCTCTGCTGACCGTGAGCTAGGAGCTGCTTAGCCTGGGCTGTCTCCTGACCATGAGGTGGGACAGCCTCGGGTGAGCGTGAGGAAGTCAGAGCAGGAAGCTGGAACCCTTCTGGGTCCCTGGTGAGTCCCTGAGCTGCTTAATCCATCGAGCTGGAAGTCCTCTGGCTTTAGTTCTGCTGGCCTAAGAGATGCCAGCAGATGCCAGTGTGATATGGGGAGAGGGGTGGTCTTTTAATTCGCTGCAGAAAATATTGTAATGAAAATAACTATATAAGCCCACGTTTGGATGAAGGCACACTGTGTTACAGACACGGCACTATTGACTGAATTCAGAATTCTTTAACAAGGGAGGTAAGCTCTGCTAGGGTGTGGGCTCTGGCCGCCTTCCCTGCCCGATCTTGATTATAGAAGAATTCCACACACAGCTCATCCTTTGCACTGCAGTCAGAGTTTTAGGCTGGCTCAAAAACACAGATATGTTTTGAGATTATTGATCTATCTTGAAAAAAATCAGGCAAACAGGATATGTAAGGCGATAATACTGTAAACCGTTAAACCTATTTTCTCCCTCTTATTTTTCAGTGATTATGTTTCTGTCCTTTATTCATGTAGCCTATTATACCGATTACTTTTATCTTAAACGAATCCGGAATTCCTAGGATAAAGCTCACTTGGTCATAGCATATAATCTGTTTTTATATGCTACTGGATTTGCTAGTTTTTTGTTCCGGAATTTTGTGGCTATTTTCATCAGGAATGTTGGTCTGTTGAGGGGGTTAATTTATCTGTTTAAAAATTTTTTTTGTCAGGGTGTGATGGCACATGCCTATAGTCCCAGCACTTGGGATGCTGAGGCGAGAGGATCACTATGAGTTTGAGACCAGACTGGGTTACAATGGGAGCTCAAGGCCAGCCTGAACTGCATAATGAGACACTGTCTCAAAAAACACACACACACAAATTTTTTTTTGTGCTTGTGCCTTTGATGTTGTATCCAACATACCATTGCCTAACCTAGTTATAAAGAATTCTAAGAGTTTCATGGTGTTCTTGTTTCTAAGGGTTTATGCATTTTGAATCAATTTGTGTACACTATGGAAGGTAGTGGTCTAACTTCATTCTTTTCCATGTGGATATCCAGTTGTTCCAGTGGCACTTGTTGCAAAGATTATTCCTCACTGACTTGCTCTGATCCTTTAGTCAAAACACCAATAAGTCATATAAAGATTGATATGTAAGCATTTTTTTCTGGGCCTGACTGTATTACTGATCTTCGTCAAGACTTATGCTTGCCCTACAGTATCTTTTTTTTTAATCGGCACGGGGATCAAACTCACAACCACGTGCTTGCAAGGCAGGCACTTATGCCGCTGAGCTAAATCCCCAGCTCTGCCCTACAGTATCTTGATCACTATAACTTTGCAGTAAGTTTTGAAGCTAGGAACTGTAAATCCTCCAACTTTGTTTTCTTTCAAGCTTTCTATTTCTTTCAGTAAGGCTACTTGGTTTCCTTTCCATTTTCTTTTTCTTTTTTCTTTTTTCTTTTGAAAGTAGTAAAATTCAAAAGAACAAGAAAGAATAAAGCCAACTGAGACCATGTAGTGAAATTGGTATAGAACTTCACAGCAGGTTACCAGGATAACACTAATAGGTATCGCAGTATATTTCGTTATCTTTACAATAGTTGTTCTTTTGATCACATATATCAAAATAAAATGAAATACAGAACATTATAGAACTTCTCAAAACAGCATATTGACTAGAGCAGAACCATTAATTAGAATAAAGCAAAACAGTAATAAAAATATTTGCCTTCAAAGAGATGGCAGAAGGAAATCCCCCTTCCAAGAGATGTTCAGATTTCTGGTTCTTATTTGCTAACGGGGGGGGGGGGGGCAGGGGAAGGGGAGTAGGGGAAGTGGGATGTTTGACTCTAGGCCGTGCACCAGTAGGTTCACTATTGCTTAGTAGGGAGGCAGGCTGGTTGCTTGGTTTCCCAGCGTCCTAAGTTCCAACATGGCGTGGATCTCAGAAGACACTAGTGGTTCTCCTCCTGGAGGGGCTGTAGTCTGCCACACCACAGCCACTTACCAGGGAGGCAAGCTGCTTGCTTGGTTTCCCAGTATCCTAAGTTCCAACATGGTGAAGATCTCAGGAGACACTGGTGGTTCTCCCCCTGGAGGGGCCGCAGTGTGCCACTCTGCCACTGCTTACCAGGGAGGGGAGCTTCCTTTCCATTTTCATATGCAAGTTAGCATAAGCTTGTCACCTATGAGAATCTGAGAATCAGTAGGCGTTGTGTTGAACTCTAGACTAATTTGGGAGTTGCTACCACCTCTGTAAGTCTTCTGATCCATGAACATGTAAAATATTTCTTTTCCTTTAATTTTTTTTCTTTTTTTTAGTACTGGGATTGGAATCTAAGGCCTTCACACTCCTCATCCCTTTTTAAAATTTATTTTTTACTTTGAGACACAGTCTCACTACATCTTTAAATTGCTCAAGCTGGGCTCAAATTTGCAATCCTCTTGCCTCAGCCTCCCAGAATTCTGGGATTTCAGGTGTGCACCACCACAGCTGACTTGTTTAAATCTTTAAAAATTGCTTTCAACCATGTTTTCTAGATTGTAGTGAGCTCATTTTACTCTTAACTTGTTTCATTGAATTTATTCCTGAATATAAAGTATATAGATATTTGTTACTTTGCTATTATTGTAGTTGTCTTATTTTATATAGAAACAAATCTGATTTTTATATATTGATCTTGTATCTCATAATCTGTTTGAAATTACTAGTTAAGACTTTGTGGATTTTCCAGCAGTTTATATGCTTAAGACAGAGTCACTGGCAGCGTTAGTTTTATTTCTTTCTTGGCTTCATCCTCGATCCTTTCTTTTCTTTTTACCACCTGATTTTCCATGCAGTACAATGTTGACCAGGAGTGGCACTGATACCCTGCTGCTGTTGCTGGTCTTGGAGGAAAAGGACTCAGTGTCTCCCATGAGAATTAAGTGAAGTACGATTTTCTCTTTATGCCTTTTTTCAGGTTGAGGAAATTGCACTCTATTTGTAGTTCGTTAATTTTTTCTATCAGAAACTGTTAGGTGTCGTGAGGCCCTTCTCTGTCTGCTAAGAGGATGGTGGGCGTGGCTTGCTACATGGATTGGTCCTCCGAAAATGAACTGGCTTTCCCCTGGGGGACGCACTGACTGGTCTTGAGGTAGAAATTGTAACTATGTTGCGGCTCTGTTTGCTGAAGCACTGAGGACTCAGAGTTTGAGGGCTTTTGTGCATGTTTATGTGCAATGCTTTCCTCGGGATCTCTTCATGTGAGGTTAATGTTAGCTTTGTGGGACGAATCAGAAGTTTTTCTCTCTTCTAATTTTTGGAAGAATTTGTGAAGGATTAGTGTTAATTCTTTAAACATTTGGTAGCATTCACCAGCTGTCTGGGACTGGGCCATATTTTAAGGACAGGTTTTATTGTTGATCCATTGATAGGTCTACTGAGAAGACTTGTCTCTGAATCAGTGTCAGTAGTGTCTGTCCCATTTCATGTAAGTAATTTAATTTGTTGGCATATAATTTTTATAAGAGACCACGGTAGGCTTTTTACTTTTGTAAGGTTGTTAGCAATATCCCTTCATGTAGTCATGACTTAGCAAATTAAATCTTTTCTTTTTTACTTGGTCTTGTAAGAACCAGCGTCGCAGGGAAGAAGACCCCAAGGACTCAGCTCCTAGTGAGGAGTAAAAAGTTTATTTCCATGCGCATGGGGTCCCCCAGGCAAACAAGTGCGGAGGGCCCTGAGGGGGAATTGTGCAGGGTTTTTAAGGGCGCAAGCCGGAGGCAAGCAAGTTTACAGAAGCAGATTGCATTGGTTAATTTTGAGCAGCATAGGACTTGGCAGAAGTTGATTGGAGGGGTTTGGGGTTGAGTAACCATGGAGACTGGGGGTCCTAGCCCAGTCACTATGTGCCCAGAACAGAACAGTTACTTGTCTTACTTATCTCGTTGAGACAGAACAACCTTGCAGGTGTTCGGTTCTGATAGCTCTGGGGAGTTAGGGAGTTAACCCTTTCATCACCCCTTTCTTCTTGTAAATGGCCTTTAGGAAGTTAAAACTTAACCTAGTTAGATTTTAAAAAAAAAGGAGAAGAAAAACAACAGATAAAACGAGCTTTCTTGGTCTCTTCAGTCTGTGTAACTGAAGGTTTGTCTCCCCACCCCTTTTTGAAGAATGAACTTTGAGTTTCTTTTTCTGTTTTTTCTTTGTTTCATTTATTTTCACTCAAGTCTTTATTATTTCCATTCATCTCACTTTGAGTTTAATTTTTTTCTCTCTCTTTCTAGCTTTCAGGATGGAAGGTCAGGTTTCTGATTTGAGGCATTTAGGATTTTTTTTCTTAGAGGTTTCAGTTGCCCAATGTTGCTTTGAGGATCCCCTGGGCTTCTGGCCCCCTCAGCTCTTTCCTCCCCTGCGCAGCCCTCCCCGTGTACACATGTAGAGTGTTTCTGGGATCTGACTTGCATTTTACCCTGTGCTGGCCGGGATGTGTGTGTGTGTGTGTGGGGGGGGGCTTGGCCAGAGCTGCTGTGTCCCTCCCCCTGCTTCCTCCCCACCTGGGAGACTGGGCAGTTTGCTTCGGTGACCTTTCCTGTGGAACTGCCACTCGCCACTCTGACTCCTGCCACTCCGGACTCTACTGCTGCCTCGTGGAAGGGGTGGGGAGCATGCTGGGGAGGCTGAGGTCACGGAGGGCGGTGTATGGCTGGGTCTGTGCCCAGAGCCTTCCAGAAGGTGGTCTGGTTCCAGCCCTGCCCCTTCCTGACCCAGGTCTGCAGCTGCTGTGTGAGCCATGCTTCTTAGTCGTTCTCAGGCTCTGTCCACAGGGTGTCCTGTGCCCTGGCCCCGGCCCCCTGTGCTGCTCTGCTGACCCTGGTGACCCTTCTGTGAACGGTTTCTGCAGCAGTGTGGGCCAGAAAGTCTTGTCAGTGGACTTGAGATTTTTGTCCTGAGTATCACGCATGGAGTAGTCATCTCAAAGAACAGTGAACACTCAGAGCTGTTGGCACCTGAGGGCTCCAGGGACCAGTGGCCCGCAGAGGCCAGCTGTGGACACTTGGCATGCAGCACAGGGTGGGTCAGATGGTGGAGGCCTGCAGTGGCAGTGACCAGGTCTCTGTCGGCTGTTGGTGCCCAGCGTTGCCTGGGGATCACAGGATGGCAGCCAGGCTGCCCTTCACCTGTCCCTGATTTCCATCCTGAGCACTTCTGCTGACTGGCATTGGCTTAGAGATGTCCAACTCTGTTTTTCAATTTTCATTCTGGTTCATACATTTGATAATTTTAATTCACTCTCTATCTTCTGGTAATTCAGATTTTCTGCAGAATTATTTTAAAAATTGTTTTATATTTGTGGAACAGGGGATTCAACTCAGGGCCTCCTGCATGCTAGGCAAGTGCTCTACCACTGAGCTCCATCCCCAGCCCTTTTTGTTTTCCTGCTGAATTCTTGCAGTAAATATTTTACTTAGTTATCATACTTTTCTGCTCTAGGATTTCTGTTTATTTATATTTTCCTTTTGGTTAGACACTGCTCTTGTAACTTCCTTTAAAAATTTCTAAACTTCTTTCATTCTCTGGGTACACTTTTATTTATTTATTTTTTTCTCTTTAATTTTTTTGAGACAGGGTCTTGCCATGTAGTTCAGGCTGGGCTTGAACTCACTATGTAACCCATGTTGGCCTCACACTCATGGCAATCCTCTTGTCTCAGCCTCCTGAGTGCTGGGATTACAGGTATGTGCCACATGCCTGGCCTGGATATACTTTTAATTGCCAATTGAAAGTTTATTTTTTTGATATTAAGTCCAACATTTAGGCTTCCTCAGAAAAAGTCCAGTCTTATCCCTGTTGTAACCTGCTAACCAGTTCCCTTCACCACCTTGCTGTTCTGTAAAGCGCCAGCCCCTCTCTCCCCCCCGAACTGCTCCATAAAAGATGATAAAATTGTTTGTCCTGATGGAGACATCTGTTCCAAGAAATGACCCACCACAAAAAAACCACAACTTTGTACTTACATTAAAAACATGTTATGTACATGAAAAGTCCCCAGGTCAAGCTGTACCCAAAACTATGCTTGAGAGCTTTCCAAAGGATACCCACTGGCACAAACAACCCCCCTTGCTTTGCGGTTTTTGTCTTCAAAAGCTTCAGACTCCTTCACTCGGGGTGCTCAGTCTAGCAACTGCCTGACTGACATCACTGGGTACCAGCTAAAATAAAGCGCTTCTCTTTTTCTATTTTTTCTGTCTTGTTGTTTTTGAGAGTTGCTGGCAAGGGGACTAGGGGCAGAGGTCCACTCTTGGAGTCTGGGGGTGCCACAATCCCCCCAAGGTTTAGGCTATTTTCCATTTCTTTGCACACCTAAGAATGTATTTGGTTGAAAACTGGACATTTATTTATTTTCAGGACAGGGTCTCACTATGTAGTCCCGGCTGGCCTTGACTCTGTGGCAGTCCTTCTGCCTCAGCCTCCTAGGTGCTGAGATTACAGGCGTGTGCCACCATGCCTGGCCAAAAACTGCACATGTAAAATGATACAGTAGTAACACTGGTACTCACAGCCCACTGGAGGTTAGGTTTTGTTGCTCTATTTGTGGGTTTCTAAACTAATTATGCGTGCATGTTTTTTGTGTGTGGCAGAATCTCTACCCTTAGCTTGCTGGTCACCTGATTGGGTACAGATGTTCTTAACTGCTTTCAACTAGTGAGTTTTCCAGTCTTTGCTGAGAGGCTGTGAGTGTATGTGTGTGTTCACGTGTGTTCATGCACGTGTATATGTACATGTACATATGTGTATGGGTATATCTATGTATGTGTACATATGAATATTGTGCATGTGTGTGCACTTGTGTGCATGTGCATGTGTATATGCATGCATGTGTATATCTGTGTTTAAGTGTGTATGTATATGCACATGTGTGTGTATATGTTGAAGTGTGCGTATGTGTGTGCATGTGTACATATGTACGTGTGTGCCTATATCTGTAGGTGTATATGTGTTTATGTGTATGTGTGTGTGCATGTGTATGTGTGTGTGTGTACATGTGTGGTCTAGCTGGAGGAAACATGTTAAAACTCCGGAAACAGCCTGTCTCTCAGCCCTCCCTTTCTGCTGCAGGTAGGTCCACCAGGCCCTGGTCAGGTGCACCTAAGTCTTCTCAGCAAGCACACACCCTGCTGTCTGTATATCTGCATAGTGTCTGAGTGTCAGGTGTTCGATGGAATCTCGCTCCTCAGTATTTACGAGTTTTTGTTGGTCTTCAGTTTCCCCCAGTGGGTGCCTGTGCCCTGGGCAGCTGTGATGTCCAGTGCCACCAATTGGCTCTCAAACACCCTGCAGGGGAAGCTGTTTGCGGTGACTGACCTCTGAGTGAGGTCCAGCTGGAGAGACCTTGCTAGTAGGCAATTCTGGGGAGCTGCCGGACAAGATGCTATGGTCTGGAGGATATGGCTTCAGGGTGTCCCCAACAACAGCCATGCGCTAGAGGCATGGGCCTGCGGTGGCAGCACCAAGGTGCAACTTGGCTGAGGTGTTGGGATCCAGGGGATGAGTCCTGGTCTCACATAGCAAATGAGTTCATGGCAAGGCTGCTCTGTACCTGACCCTGGCCACACTCTTTACCACCTTGTGATACAGTCTGGGGTGGGGCCACGGGTCTCAGAAAGGTCAATCCAGTGGACCCACTGGACCTGGATTTTCCATTTCTAAACCTGTTAGCTAAACAAACATCTTTTCTTTATAAAGTACCAAGCTCTGGGCATATTATTATGGCAAGTTAACCCTGACCAACACACGCTCAGTGACGTGGCTGCCGAGCTGGCATTTCTCACAGGGACTGGGGTTGGTTGCACTTAAAGCCCACTGTGGGGAGAGTGCTGGGGAGAAGGGGCAAGGCCAACTGTCACAGCACAAGAGGTCACTGGTTTTACCAAGATTTAGCCATTTCTCTGAGTAAATGCTCCCTGGATTCTCGCAAGCCTTTGGCTCATTTCTAGAATTTTAAAAAAGTTGGTTTTGACAACTCTGCCAGTGTTTTATTATCTTTATGGCAGAATGTATTTTGGGAAGTTCTTGCTTTTTTTCCTATTCCAAAAGTATGCTAGATTTTCCATGTTCTCTAAGAACTTTGTTTCCTAAAGAGATTCGAAATGTCAGAAACCAACACTTTAAAACTAAAGCAGCTCACAGCCTATGGCATTCAGTGCCCATGTGCCTGTGTGACCCTGAGCCATCACTGACATACACATCTTTTTCTCTTAATCTTCTAGGAGACTAATGGCACGCCTACCACATGGTTTTCCAGGGACACTTGTACGACTTCAATTTCCTACGAAATCAAGTGGACAGTATCCTAGAGGGTCTCCAGGCACAACGGACCTTACTTTAGAAGCAAAACATATGTGTTTACCAATTCTAGTTAAACCTGAGACCCTCAGAGAAGAATCCCCTCTTATCTTCCTTTGAAAACCAGAAACAAAATTACTGACCAAGTTCTTCAGAAACTGCTTCGTGGTGAAGGGCTCTTTCCATCCAGTGTAGGACCACGGTCGTGAGGATCAGCTCTGCGATGGTGCTGAGCAGTAAATAGTGTATGAGCATCATGCCAGCCATCTGCAGTGGGAAGACGAGATATTCCACACGTCAGCAAGCCATGGAAAGCCGCGCTAGAACAACATTTACCAAACAGGGAGTAGGTATCATTTATCATGGCAGTTTCACATGACTGTGATTGTTTCTGAGTATTTTTCATAACAACAAGTACATTTTAAGTTGACTACTTCTGTACATACCTCTGAAGCACTTTAATTCTAAGAGCAACCCTGCAAGCGGACACCAATATTCCTATTTTACACAGGACAAGGCTGGAAAGTAGAGATCAGAGACTGGCACCATACTCAGCTGGAGCTCTGCAGAAGTTGGCCCCGGAGCTCTTGTGTTTCTCGCTTGCTTCAGTGAGGCTGATCAGATGACTATGCCCAATGCTATGTGGCTTAGCTGTGTGTTCTGTTTTCATTACTTTCCATGGCCTGCGTGTTATTTCATGAATCAGGTGCAGTGCTCTCTCCACGTTCCTAGCAAAACCTAGAGGAAGTGTTTCTTCTTTCTCAGAAACAGGTGAAAAGAGTTTGCAGTATTTCTCCTTTGTGTCCACTCACATCTCCCCACATCAAGAGCAAGGACTTGGGTGAGCAGTAATTTGGAGAGAAGGAACTCAGACCTTTCCTCTTTCCCCCCACCTGGAAAGGGCTCTGTTTGTAATGCCAACTTCTTCCCTTCAATGTCAGATAATTGTCTGCGCTCCAGGAAACCCTGGCCTGCAGTCTCTCTAGGTGGAGAAGCCTAACTGGGACCTACCTAGGTGAATGTATTTAAGTCAGGAAGGGCAGTGCCAGCGAGTTCATTTGGCTAAAGACTTGAAACTTGCTCTCCCACAGTGATCATCAGCACAAAGGCTGGTAGCTTTGTCTACTTTCTCTTGATCTTGTATCTCATTTTCCTTGGTTCAGGACGTGAGAAAGGTAAGTGACCATTTACTGGCCGCCTGCATCCCCTCCTATGTCTGCTGTGATAAAGGACCACAAACTGGGTGGCTTGACACAACAGAAATTCACTGTCTCATGGTTCTGGATGCTGAAATCCCTAGTCAAGATCCTAGCAGGACCACGGTCTTCTCAAAGCTTCTGAGGAGGGTCTCCCCTGGCCCCTAGATGCCCAGGTTTCCCTTGGCATATGGCAGCATAGCTCCCATCTCTGCTGCATGTGGTCATCTTCCTTATGAACTATCTCCCTCCTTACGGTTTGAATGTCCCTTTTCCTTTTAGGGTATCAGTCACATTTCAACTTTGCTAATCACATTGTCAGTGACTTCATTCCTAAAAAAAATCATATTCTGAAGTACAGTGGATTGGGATCCAAAAATTTATTTTTGGAATGCAGATCAACTTGCAGCCAGTTCCCCCAAATCCATGTCTTTCCCACATGCAAAATTTATTCACTTTCTCTTAACATCTCCAAAAGTGCTGACCTACTTCAGTATCAATTTTAACTCCAAAATCTACCCTAAGTACCATCAAATCAAAAAATCTCAGACTGTTATTGAAATCATTTAGGGGAGAGAACTGGGGATGGTTCATCTCAGAGAAAATTTTCTTTCCACTGCAAGCCTGTGAAACTAGAAAACAGGTTATTTCAACATTGGAGTCATTCGTAGTATCAAAAGAATTTATAATTTTTTATAGGTTTTCGTTTTATCCGGGTACCTTCGTAAAATGTTTTTGTTTTTTGTACTTCTTTTTGAGGGAAGTTTCTAGACATCCTGTCATTTTATCTTTTTAAAACTATACTACCTAGTATTATTTTCAAGGTAGTTGTTCAGATTGCAAGATATAGGCATGCATAACTGATCAAACAATATAAGCACAAACTATTCAGTGAACTAAAATATACAAACGATAACTAACATAGTTATACTACTGGTTTCATTTTATTTTCAGATAATTTTCTCTCTCTTTGAGGATTCTGATGTTTCCAAATTTTGGAAGGAAATTAATTTTTTAGTACGCACATGAGAAAATTGGAAGGAAATGCAGTTGTTTATGTTTATATTCCTAAATGGCTTACACATTCAGTGGCATTTTCTATGCCTAATTCAGTTCAACATACATTATTCAAAAAAGGTTTTTCATTTATATCTAAAATTTTGACTTATTAAAATTGGTACTTACATTTGACCAAGTGTATATCGTTCCATGTGATTCAAAAATTGCAAACGCTATCCCTAATATCACTAAACCAAATATAGTCACCAGGACACTTAAGAGGTTCAGGACAGTTGCTAAGATAATCTGTAACAGACATGCAAAGAGAAACTGGTCATGGAAGGCATGAACAGATTTTGATGAATCAGTCATTCTGCCAGCCTGCCTAGAACATGCAAGTTGGAGTTGTTTTTTTTAAATGTGTGTTTGTGGAATCTTAGAGTTGCTAATAGCAGGATTCCACCTCAGATTTATCTAGAAGCCAGTAGGGTAAACCATTTTTATTTTCAGAAGATTTATTCAGGGATTCCACAAACAGTTACAGAATGCCTACAATGTGCTAAACGTCATGCAAGGACAGTGTCATGTTTCTACTGGTGAAGCTTCTAATCTAATGGGGGAGATGAAACATTAGACTGAGTTTGTTTGCTTTTTTTTTTTTTTTGTACCAGCGATCGAACTCATAACCTCGCGCTTGCCAGGCAAGCACTTATGCCACTGAACTAAATCCCCTGCCCAGCTAGACTGAATTTTATCTAATGAAATTCAATAAATATGGTATGACACAGATGATGGCAAGGGCTGGAGTCCACTCGCATAGCATGCATAAGGCCTCGAGTTCAATTTTCAGTACCCTAAAACAAGCAAACTGAGAACAAAATCCCTTTTCAGGGGTTTCCAAACTTGCTTTGAGACAAAAACTGCAGTATTTTGAATGATGCTGAAGGCTTCGCGTGAGCTGAGCAGGACAGTGGGGCCTCTTTCAGCTGACGCTGTGTTTCATGTGTGTGTGAGAGAAACAGTAACACGTTAAGGGGAAGAGGTTTCTTTTTGTAGAGATGTGAACAAGGATGCAGTTTGCTGCCAGTCGGTGAGAGGAAGAACGTCAGTGGACCTATGGGTGTTGTCTTCTAGGAAGCCTGCTACTATTTTAGGGGCTTTCCTCATTGGTTTTATGATAGCTTTCCCAGCTTCTTCCATGAAAGCCAGAGGAAAGATTTCCTCTTTCTCGTCAGTCTTGCAATGCTATTACAATGGGACTGCCACTGAAATGCTCCCCTGGGATTATCAATCTTGAGCAAGAAACTTTAAAATGAAGAGAAAAACACTGAAATCAGTTCCAAGCTTGGGCAGCAATGATGTCGCATGTTGGGGGCAGTGGTGACTGGGTGTTGGAAAGCAGCTGTGATTCCTCAGGACGGAAGCACCCAAGCCTTTCACCTCCCACAGATGCTAGGAGCTTGACGTCTCAGGAGGTCCCATTCATGCCTAACAGAGCCAGATGCAGCTCATAGTGATGGAGAAGATTGGACAAGCACGTTATGAAAGAGAGGATTATGTGTAGACAATTCCAAGAGCTTGGAGAGCAGGGGTTCAGGGAAACATTTGGCATTTGGAGTGCTCAAGGGCAGATGGAGGAAAAGTGATTAGAGAGGTTGCTGAGGATATAAATGGGGAATAATCATGATTAGTACGATGTGACAGGAATTTTAGATTTTATTTTTACAGATATATACCATTGGAGTTATCATGCAGGCAGCTACAGAAAAACTTCTACTTGGTGCAAGTTCGGGTTGGGATATGCTCCAGAAAATGCACGCACAGTGTTTCTCCTTGCTCACCTTATTTCCATTTATGAAGACAAAGAGGTTTGTGAATCAGGTTTCTTATACAAAGCTATTTATGCTTCAGATTTCCATTTGAAGGGTTCTTCCAGCATGAAGCTATAAAGAACTCTGAACCAACTGCCCAGCCAGAGTTTGAAAAATTGCAAAAATAATTTTGATCATTTACAATCTCTGGAAAAAGCTGTAAGGATATACAGCAAGTGAAGATACAATTACTCAAGGACATGCCACGTTTTCTAGAGAATAAGAACCACCTGGAAAATAATCAGCCTTGAAAACTGGAGAGAAAAAAATACCAGCCCTGTCAGCTGACTTAGTTTATATGAGTTCACTCAGATGATTCTGCAGAGACAAGAGTGTCTGAATTGCCTGACATCCATTTCTCAATGTATCCTCATTGTTAAGAGTCATATAACTATAGTTATAGTAGCCATAAATGTGGAATTGACTCAGATGTGCATTGTCTTAGTTACTTTCTGTAGAGGTTTCAGTTTGTAGCTGGCTGGCTCCAAGGCAGGTTGGCATGTTGGAAAGGAATCACAGAGGAGAAATAGTTCGTGGCAGTGGAAGGCAGCAAGCAGCAAGTGACAAAGTGACCCTTTTCCTGTCCTTTATATCTTATCCAGCCTACCCACCCTTAGGGCAGGTACCACTCACACTCAGAGTGGGGCAGCCTTAATCCTAGCATTGCATCATGAATCAGTCACAGCATCAAATCCTTGATCCAGCAGCACACCCTAGACCCAGCCACCTCCCAAAAGTCCCACCTATGACAACATGAGACTTTGGTGATGGTGAGGGCAGCTAGATGCAAGCTGTGACATCTACCAGCTGACATGGAAACAGGCTTTCTGCAACTCCATAGGTAAGAAGAGTCAGGGCAATAACAAATAATCTATAATCTAGGGAAAGAATACAAAGAGCAACTCTGGGAATCAGGAAGATTTAACAGCATAGGGAATCATAAAAGCAACTCAGGCAAAAGCAGGACGTGAGTCACACTTCAACGCCAGCTCCCCAACAGTTGGGCTTGGGGAACCCATATCCAAAAGTATTTGGCCACCAGAGCACGCAGTTGATACCAGTAGTTACAACAGACTAGAAGTCCAAATGGCAGGAGAAATTTGTAGTTCTTTACAAGTTTTAAATCCAGTGTGGGGATTTGGTCTGAGAACAGCTTCTGCACAGGAAGCTATCTTTTGAAAAGAAATTTAGTGTACTGCTGAGCAAACTCTCAGGACCATAACCAAGTTCATCCTGAGAAAGTTTTTTTTTTTGTGTGTGTGTGGTTAGGACTAAATTTTGGGGAATTAGAAAAATGGAGTAATCAGTTGAGGACACCCTGCTGCCTTGATCGGTGAGAGACGGTTGTACAGGACCATTGGGTTGAGGTAGAATCTCACATGACTTCTGGAGAGGGCTGAGCCATGGAGACTGTGGTCCTGCCCTCTGCGGTGAGGAGCAAGACCTGGTGGATGCGGCTTCAGGAGGAAGTAGGGTATGAGAGCGCAGAGACCGTGGTGATTGGGTTGTGTGTTTCCCTTTCTCATGGACTTCAGAAGCACATGGGATGCACTTGCCCACCCAGAACTCAGTGGCTTGTTGGCTCCCCCAATCCAGAGGCATTCTGTGGCTACATCATGGCTTAGACATTTGCCACAGCTTGGGAGCACTAACTAGAGTCCTCTGTGATAGTCCTCCCCCTGGTGTGGCCACGTGGCACTGAGACTTGGTCAGTGAGAGGGGCTTGCTGAGGTCCAGGCATTTGATATGTCCCTTGGTGTTTAGAAAGCCTTTGGAACGCTGACCCTGACCCAGCAGGTGTGGTCCAGGTATGAGTGCTGCGTGATCAGCAAGAAGTGCCGACATTTGCTGCCCTCCTGGGTGCACACTTACAAAGCCTCCATGGGGCAAAGGGTGGTGGTTCAGCCAGTGTTCCCTCCACTGGCCCTCAGGTAATGCGGGGATGGCCCGCTAGAGTGCAGCAGGGTCACAGGTGTGGGCTGAGGGGAATCATCATAGGCTCCCACAGCAACACACACGTCCTCCCACACCTGATGCATTTCAGCAGCTGATGACCCAGAAAGAAGTGTCTCAGCACAAGTGCTTGGCAGGAGGGACTGGGGACTCAATTCTTTTCTCTTTTTCTCCATCTACCTTATATTCTTTTTATTTGCCACTATTTTTATGTTAACTTATTTAATAAGATTCTCCATTGTTCTCGTTTCCCTCCTGCACTTTACTTTTTATGTTTTTGATCTAAGGTCTCAAAGATTGGCCTTCAATTTAGTATATATCCCTGGTTGACTTTGAACTCATGCTTCTCCTGTCTCAGCCTCCCAAACTCTGGGATCAAATTTTATTAGTTTTTAATGTTTTAGTTTCATTTGTAGTATTTTTGTTCCTTTATTTTCTATCATTTTTTTTGTCTTTTTGAGACAGAGTCTCACTATGCAGTTCAGGCTGGCCTTAAGCTTTGTATGTCAGTCTGCTCTTGAATTCACAGTGATCCTCCTGCCTCAGCTTCCTGAGTGCTGGGATTACAGGCGTGAACCACCACACCCAGCTTTTTCTATCATTATTGGTGATACTTTTTTTAACTGGCTGCCACTGTTTTTCCATATCTGGTTTATGTTTTGGTTATAACTATTATTTGTTTTCTTCTTCCTGAAAGTTTCTAAGAATCAAGCCTGGGTGGCACTTTGCTGATGACTTTCACCCCAGTCTGAGAAGAGAAACTGCACCTTACCACAGTCACAGTCAGGTTCCACACTGACCTTGGCAATGTTTCAGTGTAGAGAACAGGAGAGACTCAAATCCTTTGCTGATGACTGTGCCCTAGATAGGCACGGCTGAGTGGGGCTGAAGTTCTGCTCCTGAACATGCACCAGCATAGCAACAGTAGATAGGAATAATACAACTGTGAGGGACATTGCACACAGGAGGGACCTCTGCACAGGTGTTATGGCTGTGTCCAGATGTCCCCCAAAGCCTCTTGTGGTCATATGGGGCTTTTTCAGAGGTGACTGAATCTAGAATGTGTGGTGGTAGGATTAAGGGTGGTTGGTAATTAAGGGTGGCTGGTTTGGCACTGCTATAGTCCTGGTCACCCGGACAGAATATAAAAAGGGACAGAAAGAAGCTGCTAAGGTTGCTTGCTGGTTCCCTCTCTTGCTTGTTTTTTCTCTTTTGCCTGTTATAAACTGTGATGCCCCTCTGCCATGTATCACTCTACCTTGGAGGCAGCTGATTATGGACTGAAACCTTTACAAACTGAGTTAAATAAATGTTCCCTTCTTAATTTTGGGTGTTGGATATTTTGTCTCTGGAGTGGGAAAAGTTACAATAAGTGACTCTGATATTCTTCCAGGGAGAACTGGAGGTGCAACCCGAGACAGCACACTTATCTGAACCACCAATGGAACCCCACTCTTGCAAGAGAAAGTGGACTTCAGACTCCAACATAACATGCACTGTATCAAAACCATCAATCAGAGCTAAAGAAGCCATAGGGAAAATGTACTGAGAAGTCCAATTGGAATGAAGCTCAACACTACCCAACAAATCAATATCCCAAGACATATCATCAAGAAAAGAGTGCTCCTCAAGGAGGACCTTACATAAAAGTGGGAGAGATCCAGTCCCACGGATGTGCATATCTCAACAGAGAAATACAAAAAATGTGAAAAAACAAGGAACCACTGATCCTCCAAAGATTCCTAAGTCTAGTAACTGCTTCCAAAGTTGCTGAAGTAGATAAAACATTTACAAAGAAATTTAAAAATGATTTAAAATGTTAGATTCAAAAGGGATATAAATAAATAGCTGAATGAATTAAAAAAGATAATGTGGGCTATGAAAGAGCAATTCAATAAAGAGGTAGAGATTTTGAAAAAAGAACCAAACAGAAATCTTAGAAATGAAAAGCTCAATAAGGCAATTAAAAAAAAACTCAGTTGAAAGCCTAGTAGACAAGGCCAAGTAGAAGAAAAAAATAGCAGGGCTTGATAAAAAGGGGTGATGAATTATCACACTCAGAAAGTAAAGAAGAGAAAAGAAACAGCAAAACATGCAAGATCTACAGAACACAATTAAAAATATCAAACATGTATAACTGGAATAAATGAGTGAGAATAGTTACAGGCTAATAGCATAAGAACCCTAATCAGTGAGATAACAGAAATATCTCCAAATCTTGGGGAAGGTGTGGATGTCCAGATACAGAAGGCATTTAGAACTTCAAACAGACACAGTCAGAAAAGAACCTTCCCTGGCATAAGATAGTAAAACTGCTAAAAATTTAAGAACAAAGAAAGATTGTTAAAAGCTGCAGATGAGAAATGTTAAGTCACATAAAGGCAAACCCATAAGAAAAACAGATTTCTCAGCAGAAACTGTAAATACCAAAAAGGAAGGGAGTAATGTATTTCAAGATGCAAGAGAAAATACTGTCAACCTAGACTACTGTATTCAGTAAGGTCATTTTTAAGAATCAAAGTAGAAGTAAAAGCCTTCTAACATAAGCACAGACTAAAGGAATTTATGAATACAAAACTAACATTATGTATACAAAACTGTGAGAGTATAAGAAGAATAAAATTCATTAGGATAGTAAATGAGCAAATAAGAATTAGAAAAGAATCAAACATTATTCTACTGAAATCTCTAAGATAAACAGTAGAGAAATAAATGAACATAAATTATTCAAAATAACCAGAAGAAAAACAACATGACACGAACTAGTATACACATTCAATAATAAACCTGAGTGTAAATGGTCTGAATTCTACAATGAAGAGCTGACAAATGGCTGAATGCATTCAAAAAGAAAGGCCCAACAACAAGCTGCCTTCAAGAAACTCACCTTGCTGCCAAAACCATACACAGACTGAAAGTGAAAGGACAGAAAATGACGTTTCATGATGTAGTGGCTACCTGGGTAATGTTAGAACTTAAAGGTAAAATAAAAATCCCTTAATGCCCATGACTGTAGCTGCCAAGCTGCTTTTGAACAAAGGAGCTCTTGTACCTCTTTGGCTCTGTCTTATTGGAGAAACAAAGGCAGAGCTTTATTTGAAGTACAAAACAAAAATTTTACGTTCATCTCTCACCAACCCCTGAAAGCACACACAATTTCCTCAGAAGGTTTTGATAAGCACAGAGTGTGCTGCCCCTATGCCAGGAACTTTTCTTTTTGCTTATTTACTCACTTAATGCTTACAATCCAAGGCAGGTACTGTTACTACCCATGTATTTTCAGATGGGATTGAAGCACACAGTAAAGTCGATTGTCCACAATCACACTGACAGGAGTAAGGAAATCAGAATGTGAATCCACCTAGTGTGTTTTCGCCAGGCCTGTGATCTCATTCACAGCAGGCTGGTGGGAGTGGAAAGCTATAAGCAAGGCAGAGACCATCACATGGAGATTCTAAAAAAGGACCTCTGGTTTTGCATTTTAATAGTATTTCCTAATCTGGGTTTTCTCTTTTCATTCATTATTTTTCCTACCCTTGTTCTAAAATTAAACACCAACTCCAAGCACATCCTAGCCACCTTTTCTCCTTTCTCACTGCTTTGATCAGGTTAGAGTTTTGTTTGGTCATAGATACACCTTTCGAGAGCTTGAGATGGTTTATTATATAGAAACTTTCTTATCTGCTGCCTTACTGCTCACATTGCAACGTACTTTAACACCCACTCACAAAAAGGTACCAGAATGCATCCTTATGAAAACTGAATGACTCTTTTGCCATCCAATCATCTGGAAAAGATTTCTACCCTCCAAAAAAGTTGGTTCAAAAGCCATTGTATCTCCTACTCCGTTGCACCAGTAACATTGCTATCTCTGGAGCCACTCCAAAAGGTTTTACATACCTGGTATATTTTTATAGAGGCTTTATGGAAAACAGTGGCGGATCCGGATAGGATGAACTGGGAACAGAAACAAACACTGGTAAACACGCAGGCCTCATGATGATCCCCTCAAAAAGATCTTTTCCCTAATGCCAGTGGAATTCCTGTTTTCAAAAGTATCACTGCATTTTCCAAAGAAAGTACTCGAAACATGAAAAGCCCATTTCAGTACTGTGGTGATCACTAATAGAATCTGTAAGAAACAGGCTCACTATTTTTCTGCTGCCAAAATGAACAGATATTTTAGTCTCAGGTCATTAATGAGGCCTTCATGTAGGTAATGGAGCTTAGGGACTTCACAGTGATTTTATGCAGGATGAGTGGGAGGCCCTTTACTTGTTTGGATTGTTATTTGTTGAACTATGACCTGGATTATTAGAAAATAATCCCCAGTGGTGAGTGTGGCAGATTTCATTTGCAAGAACTCCTATTCCTTTGATAATGCTGTATAGGAAACATTTCTTTAGTGAAAGATGATTTTAGAAGGCATTTGATCAGAAGATATATGGTTTTCTTTTTGTAAGTGTCATGTTCTAAGCCCGTGAGTCCTGTTTGAAAGGATCTTTTCTGGGATAGCAAGAATTTATTCTTCCTGGCCATGCATGGGCTGCTGTTGGTGTGCGGACAGCCAGATCCAAGCCTCTCTCCATCAGTTAGCGACATTTGCAGACTGCAGGGGGAGAGAACAAGGCCTCACCAGGAAGCAAGTCCTGCCTGGTAGCCGTATCATTTTCTTTGTTTTGTTGGGTTAGGTTTTATTCTCTTTTGTTTTATTTGATTATGTTAAATCTGATAGCACGAGCATCTATTTAAAATATAGCAAGACATATTATGGTAGCCATTTTGGATTTTCTATTGTCTTGTTTTGAAGTCTTTTACTATATTCACTGTTTTGGTTTATTGTTTCTGTTCTTTTCTGCTTGATTTTTACTACATCTGAAAGTACCTGCAGTTATTTTGAAGGCAAAAAAGGCATTATGGTAACCATTGCTGATTTTATAAGGCTTTAAAGTCCTGTAGCACTTATACTAGTTTATTTTGATTAGGCTTATCATTTTACTTTTCTTGTTTTTATCTTCTTTAAAAAAAGAATTTATTCTTCCTCCAGTGGCTCCTCTTATACCTGCCAGTAGCAGTCAGAAAAGATGACTCTACTTACTAAGAAAGGGCTCAGGGATCCCTGGACCTTAGTGCTGAAAAGTGAGAAACCATCATGAAAATAGAGGGATGAGGACTTGATTTTATTTTTTGTGATCTCTGACACTTTACTGCTGTGAAGAGTTTCTGTAGGTGTCATGTTCTAAGCCTGTGAGTCCTGTTTGAAAGGACTCACTGTAAAGAGTGCTGCTGTAAAGAGCTATAAGAGTTACTTCGATTCTCCAGGCCTTGGGTTCCCCTTTTGTAAAATGGGGATCATTTCATGAGGTTGTTGTGTCACTGGGTGCCTGATATAAAAGAGATATAAAATTGGATTATTATTATTTGTGGTCAACTTTTGACATAAACACCTTATCTATGTCTTAGGCTTAAGGTTCTTTCTAAATGTTTTGTGGTGCTGATTCTTTGTATTATTCTTTGCATTATTTCAATTCTCTTAAATGTATATTATATATATTATATATGTAATTAAGAGAATTGAAATTATATGTATATATATATATATATATATATATATATATACCCCTTTCCAGAGTTCCCATATTGTTAAGCAGTTCCTCTTGAGGGGTGGCTTTCGAGGACTCTGAGGAGCTTCTCTGTCCTTAGCACAGTGACTCCTAGGCCCCTTAGTAAAGGAAATGGCTATCCTTTTGTGTCTCAGGGGCTTTTCCCCAAAGCACAGAGATCAAGCTACCCCTCAGGCTTGGTTGAGGAATGTGGAGAGGTTGGTAAAGGTTTTTTGAAACCTTTTTCCTCCATGGAGAAATCTGACTTTAGGTTAACTTTTCAGCTGTGTTTGTTGTACTCTAAGAAAATAGTTTCAATATATGTGTATTATAACAAAACCTGTAACGAGGCTTACTGAGTGTGTCTTTTTTCCTTTTTCCGTCCCAGTGACCTAATTGATATGTTAAGCAATGCTCTCCTCTGTAAAGAATTGCAAAATCTCACCTAATTGATATGTTAACCATTGTTGCCCTCTACAAACAACAGAAGAGGTGCTAAAACAAGCTAACAAGTGTTGTTAATCACTGTTAGGCGCCTCTATTCTCTGCTAAAGAGCTAAAGAAAACCAGGGTGGCCCTCTAATTTACACTTGTTTGAAGTAACTTGCTTGTGTGCAGGAAGATTTGCTTATTAGCATAACCCTTTACCTGACCTTGATCCCCCTCCCCAGAAAGAAAGAAAAACATAACCACCATTTTCTGTTCTGTAGCACACCTTATTGCCTCCCCTCTCCCCTTACCTATCTAACTAGGCTAGGCCATAAAAATTTTGGGTTTCTGGTGACCACTTCCCGACCCAGTGGTGGTCTGTCATAAAATGAGCCTGCTCTGTGTTAAGAACTGCTTAGCTTCAAAGAAATTACAGGAAAATGTTGTGGCTTAACCCTAATGCACCAAAAGGGTTAAGTTCCAAATCCTTGTGAAAACTTAAGTTTCAGCTTCTTGTAACTTTCGACCCTTCCCACCTGTTAGTGTTAACGAGCTGTCCTGAGATAATTAACTTTCTATTTTCTTCTCCAAATGTTACTGCAGATGTGCTATTCTAAGATAATGTTTATCTGCAGGATGGGAGTAACTTGGAAGGTGCCAAAGGCTCCTGAGGTTGTCAGAACTAAGTGGACAGCTATACAGTTTCCAGATTCGGGTCAATAAGTTTGATGGCTCTGTGTGTTTCTTTGTTTCTCTCCCTCCTTTTCCTCCAGCCTCTTTTTAAAGCCCTCCCTTCAGTCTCTGGGACGCAGTCTCCAAATTGGCTCCTGGAGACTCATCTCCAGGCCTGGCCAGGCCTTTGCTCCCCATATTTCAGTCTCTTGCTTCCTTGGATTTTATACCAGGGTCCAAGTTATTACAGTGTTCAGTTGGAAACTTGGTCCAAGAAGATGGCTAGCAGTGTTAGGAGGTTATACAGTCTGTGTCTAAAAGACCTCTGACTGATAGATTGCTTCTGAATGAAGGGTGAAGGCAAAGAGCTTGTGAGGAAGCCAGGATTTAGAGAATAGTAAGCTATGTCCTTGCTCTGTGCCTTGATGGTGAGGGTGAGTTATTATAACACATTTACTCAAAATAATCTACTTTAGCCATCTCTGTTTAATTTCCCCAAGTTCCTCTTGGCTCCTGAAGTTTCTTCCCTTTTTTATAAAACTTCTCTAAAAATTGTCTCTTCTACCCCAGTTGTTAACCTCAGGCATTTGCATTTTTACCTACGCAAAAGAAAAGTCTTGTAGTTATCCAGATTACCACTTTCTGGATTAATCTTTGAGCGTCCCCTCCATCATCTTTTTTGCATGTAAATTTCAGCCTCTCGAGAATTTGCCAAAACACGCAACAAATGCAAAAATGACATTTCCGATCTGTTTCAAAATTTAAAATGAGCAATTTAAGTCATAAACTGGGTCTTTTGTGTATTACCCAGCAACCTAAGAAATTTCTTTATTCATTAGAGAAAAAAATATCCAGAAGTAAATAATACCATTGTTTACTCACAAATATGGATGATGAAAATGAGTAAATTATTAAAACAAGCATAGCTGTAAAACCAACACTGTTTGACTTCTCTTCTAGGTAGAACAGAAAAATCCAGAAAATTCCGAAGGCAATGTGGAACAAGGCAATCATTATTTGTGAAGCCTGCAAGAAAAGAGTCAACATTATTATTCAGGCCAAGTCTATGACAGATTATAACTGAGGCAGCAGAGAGGTGACAAGAATGTCCAGGTCACCCTGGTATTCTGGGGCAGTGTTGAAGGAGTTATGTGCAAGGAAAGAACAAAAGTGGACAGAGAAATGGTAGCCAGTAGTGTGTGTGTGTGTGTGTGTGTGTGTGTGTGTGTGTCTTCTCACCTCTTGGAATATTTGCTTTTGTTTCATAGCAACCTTCCAACTATTAACATTTAATTAATTAGTTCTAGTTAAGTACAAAGCAGAAGCCTATTTATTTTGGTGGAGGACACACAACTCAAAGGAGTGATACTGATTTTGAGTGTCTCCCAGGCTCTTTATTGACAGCTTCTTTATGTCCTTTAAGCCCATTCTCTGTCTCTCAGATCCCCTTGAAGTGACTTAAATCAGATCGGTTTAAACTTCAGGTTCAGGGGGAGCTTACACACTCCAGTTCTGGTATCAAGGTGATGGGAAAGTGTATTAGTCAGATTCCGGGCCCTGTAGAATACTGATGTAGTAACAGAGTCCTTGAAGGGCCATCCTGCCATTCTGCCAAACTGGTTGGTACAAGATGATAAAGGACATGGTGAGACCAGTGAATTGTATAAGCGTGGGATCATTACTGCAGCTTGTTTGCTAGGAAGTGATTTTCTTGGCCAGAAACGATGGTGTATAGAATGAAGTGGGAATAGTAGCTCTGGTTATTGGAAGGCAAATCCATAGCCACAGTGAGTGTGCATTATAGTGCAACAAAACATGGCTCGTTCACGGTGGAGATGGTTTGATGGGAAGCTGGCTGTTCATCTTGGGGAATGGTGCTGCGTGAGGGCCTGGGGATTGGTCTCTGCTGCTGGCAGATTTGGTGCTCAGGAGTGACTGTAGTCAGCACATCCTTGGTCAGCAGGAGCAGTCATGTTGCTGAACTTGTACATTGCCTAAATTCCTCATGGTCGCTTTGGGCAACAACAGAGATGAGCAGTAGGCCGACTGGTACAGTGGCACAGGTCATCATATCCACTTGATCATTCAACTTCTCCTGTACTGAGGTGGTCCTGTGTTGGGTCATTCACAAGGACACACAAGTATCTATTTCGAGATTTGTACACGTGTGCCTTAGACTTCCTTGATACAAGTTTTCCTGTCATGATCCTTCCAAGTCCCTGGCTATCCAGCTAAACACTTGACCATTTCTTCTTCTAAGAAAAATATGCAGCTAGGGCCATTTACTGAATTTCTGCCTATCAGAAAGAGTTTCCTTCCTCTTTCTTCTTCAAGGATGTCCGAGAAAGTGTCTGAACTACTGCAATAGTCCACTTTTGGGTGGTGCTTGGATATTAAGCAGAATCATCCATGAACCAAGCCTGAATTTTTTTTTCCTGGGTCAAGTGACCACAAGGAACTCACTGCGAGACTGTAGGTACAGGCTGGGAGACAGAAGGCACAACACCGAGAGTAAGCTGTGGCTTTATGTAACCGCTCAGGTCTAACCATGAATTTAGCAAGTCCACTTGTTGCTGGCTGCCGTGCAGTCCCAACTTTATGGCGTTGTGTGCCAAGTAACACCTAGTTCATGATGGGCAGCTCAGGGCAAGCTATGCTCAGGATTTGCAAGGGAATGCATTCAATACAGGACACATACTTTTTGAATTGTTTTATAATATTCATCCAAAAAGTCAAATGTAGAAGAGTGCAGAAGATCTGTTGATACGTTCAGTTCCAAAGAAACCAGCTGAGGACCTGGATCCCACAGCAATGACCTACACGAGTCCAGCTGAAGACCTAGAGCCCATGGCAATGTCCTCCACAAGTGTAACTGGAGACCTAGAGTCCACAACAATATCTCATGCAAGTCCGCATCAAGAATCTGCATTGGGAAGACCCAAGGTCAGGGGTGGAAGCTAGAAAGTCTGCACTAGCCGGGTGAAGGATCTATGCCAGCAGCTGGGGGATCTGCACTGGACCCAGGAAATGATGCTCAAGCTCAAGACCAGAGCTCCCCAAAGAGAATAGCAGCCATCCTGTGATAGCAAGGCCCTGAGCTTCTCTGACAGTGAAAGAATGTGAGCTCATATCAAGAAAACCAGCATGACAAGCTCCTCCAGGAGAATCACAGCACACCACTTCCCCTTCAGGTTCTCTTTTTATGCTGTTGGCAACAGTCCTCACACCAGCACCATGCTGATTCAGCTCAGCTAGATGTTCCAAGTTGACCAATAGCTGATCTACCATAGATCATGTGGTCATGTGGTTAAATATTCAAACTCTATTAAGTCCCATAGGCAGCTAAGAGTGATGATCTACACACAATGGCAGGATTTGGCTCCAGAATCCTGCAATAAACCTATGGGAGCCTGCAAGAGGCTTTGATATGCATCCCTACTAGTCACCAGCATTTCCAGCATGGTGGAAGCTGCTGGTCACATAGCCCAAGGACAGAGTGGCTTGCATAACCACCTGACCTTATTGTAGACTCTTCTGTTCTTGAACTGGCCCCTCCCCGCCCTGCAAACTATGGGCATTTTGGTTTGCTTTTGAAAATGAGTAAGAGGCCCACTACGTATTATGCCTCTTGTTTTGGTCATGAGAGAGGCCAAATGCAGCAACTCATCCTTTACCTTAGAGGGAGAAGGTTGACGTGCTCCATACCACTGGATCCTTAGAATTCCATTGGGTTTACTTTCCAGTCCCTGGCCCATCCATGTCTTACAGTAAGTCTTGAGTAGCTGCTATGCTCACTAGGTCCAGTTAGCATACTCCCATCAGCAGAATGGACCAATGTCATGTCTTATAAAAAAATGATCAAGACCTTTGCGAAGTCAATGATGATCTAGGGCTGGAGAGCTGATGTATCAGGACAGCAAAGGGCACTGCTGACCTTGCCAGCTGAGGCCAACTGCTTCTGGTGGTCTCAGTTAATGGGGATGGAGAAAAACCATTTTCCAGCTTACTAGTTAGTTGCCTACTAGGTTGCAGGGAATGTGTTATTTGTAATAGTTAAGTCGCATCTGATACAGAAGCTGCAGTTAGAATTCCTGCTTGACTAACTCTACAATAATCTGTTACTATCCATCAACACAAGTTTCTTCTGTGTAGACCAAAAAAGAAAGCTGAGTGTGGTGGAAATCACCTCCCCTGTGTCTTTCAGTCCTTCCACGGACTAACCAGTGGGACTGCTGTGTTGCATTTGATTCATTATTGTTCTAGATAGAAGCAGCTCCTGTGTTTTCCACTTGGCCTGTCCCTCTGAAATAATCCTTATTTCTCAGGTCAGGAACAAATGTGGGGCTCCATTAGCTGCTGAGTATACCTGTTCCAATTATGCATTTTGGAACTGGAGAAATAACCACCAGGCCAGTGTGATACAGATTTGAGGGGAAACTCCATTAATCTCTTGATTTTTATGAATGCCCGTTCTCACTGTGGGCCACAGTGGTATCCTGGGCTTAGCGTCAGTCCAGGGTCAGTACCTTGTAGTTTATGAGAACGATTACTTCCTTTCCCTCAATGGTAACTGGCAAATGACTCTACCAGTAGGTCCTTGGGGAAAGGCTCAGGGTAAGATCGATGGCTTGCAGCTCTGGTAGTGCACGGGAGTCCCCATTCAGGGAGACCCTGCCTTACTTCAGGTGTGTTAGATCTGTTAAACAGGTTGTAGTTTGGGGTTGATTGAGAGGCCTTTAAGATTTATGCTAGATGTTTTTTCACTTGATCCGTAACTTTTCCACTTATATAGATTGGTTAATAATGTAGGATGGTTTTTATTTCCTTTCCAACAATGCCATGATAAAATAGTCAGCACCATAGGCTTCTGCATGGCAGACTCTTCTGTCCATGTTGCTGACCATGGCCACTCTTCTTTTGACAGATGCCGGCTTCCAGGGGTACCTACCATGCCCTGCTGTCACAGAATCCAGGGACTCCTACTGCATCTGGGTGTCTCCATTCCATGGCTGCTATTTGCAGTCTGCCCTAACAAGAGAAGTGATTGCAGAGCTCAAGAACGCTGGGTCTTCCTCGCAATTTTATTTCTTACCATTGCATAAAAGCCATGTCTTGTGGACCCTGCCAAGGTGGGTGGTGAGTAGATCTAAAAATGCCAAAAACCTCTAACATCGTAACCTCCTAAGGCCTTTCCCAAAGCCTCTTCTCTACAGTTAAGTGGAGGCTGGTCTGGTATTTCTAGCTTACTTGTGTGGGCTACCTTTCAAGTCTGTGGTTCAGCCAGCCAACCAAATGACCCATGCAAGCGTCGTCATCTAACTCTGGCTACAAGATTAAATGCCGAGTCCCTGCTTGTGGGTCCACAGCTGTAAATTCAATGGGTCCAATTTTGTCCCCTCTGCCACTATTTCCTGCACCCTTCATCCTCACATATCTCCCTCCCACAATCCCTGGGCCTTTTAAACTTCTGCCTGTTTAAACAGATCTAGAGACAAAGGGGGGGGGAATCAAATGCCGTCCTGGAAGTCCCTTCAGGGAGGACATTGCTGTTCCTCTGGTGATGCAGGGTTTACTTCACCTCACTGGAATTTTGGGGCTCAGTGTGCTGGATTGGACTCCTCACAGGTCTCCCCTGCAAGTTTCAGGGCCATTGTTTTCCTCATCAGTGCCCTTCCTGTAACAGCAGATACGCTGGGAGTTCAGTTTGTGTTAAGCCGTCCACCTGCCCCACGAGGTCTCTTTCAGGGCAGACCTAGAAGCTCTCAGGTGGCATATTCAGCACATGGGTGGAGGGTTCAAATTCTTGAAGTCATCCTTTATTCCCCCTACTCTGCCTTGTACATTGGGAACTAATCAATATCACTACACCTATTATTTTGGAAATTGTTCAGAAGTTTAATACGCTTGAGAAATGTAACACACTCACTGATCCTTGCGCCTGGTAGGCGTCTGCTGGGGAGCATCCAGTGGTGATATTTAACGTAACTGGCCCACGGACTCCTGTGGCTCCTCCCCCTACTACAGCCAATTGGTGTATTACAGAGCCCCAAAAGCCAGAATGATTCTTAAAATTATTATAGCCTACACTTATTCTTGGTACAGAAATCTATGTTTTTTTTTTTTAAGAGATTTTAGAGATTTCCAGAGAAACAGAATCAACAGGACAAACACAGGCAGGCAGGAGGCTCAGGAGAGCCTCCTGAAGATGACTCAGTCAGGCCCAGCCACTGTACTCAAGGCCCACTGATACATATCTTTTAATTATAAAAATTTATTTCAATCAGATTTTATTGGTACATCTTAGATATCCATAATGATCACATTCATCCTAGAGAATTCGCAGCTGCACATGACTAGTTTTTTTTCCATTCCTCTCTCCCTTCCTTCAACCCTCTCCCCCCTCCCCATTTACAAAAGCTTTCTTTCCATGTTTTCTTTCTTTTTAACTTTTCCCTTCTTTCCTTTTCTCTTCTGCTCTCCCTTGTTCCTCTCCCCATTTGAACATTTTCTTCCTATTTCACAATACCTGTTAAACATTTTGGTCTTTATTCACACTTTTAGTGTCTCCTACCAGAGAAAAAATGCAGTATTTTACAAGTGTGTCTTGATTTATTTCACTTAAGAATATTGGCTCAAGGCACATCCATTTTCCTAGGAATGTCTCAAGCATATCCTTCTTTATGGCAATGTAATCTATGTATCTATGTATCTATCTGTCTGTCTATCTTTTTGTCCATTCACCAGTTGATGGACACTTGGGTTGTTTCCCAGATTTGACTATTACAAACCATGCTGTCAGAACCATAAGTACACATATTTCACTGTAGTATGATGCTTTTAATCCTTTTGGGAAGATATCCAGGAGAATACCTCAGTTAAATGGGACCTTCGATCTTAATTTTTAAAGGAATCTCCACACTGATTTCCACAGTGATTGTACCAGTCTATACTTCTACCAGCAGTGGAGAAGTCTTCCTTTTCCCCCACAGCCTCTCTAGCATTTGTTATTGGTTGATTTCTTGATGACAGCCATTTTTCCTGGAGTGAGATGGATCTCAGTGTTACTCTAATTTGCGTCTCTTGAATGACCAGTGAGGTTGAACTTTTCACATATTAGATTTTTTTATTAGATATTTTTATTTCTTCACATTAGAAGTGTGTATTCACATCAGATGTCCATTTTTGGATTGGATCTTTAAATTGGAGGTCTTGATTTTTTTGAGTTCTTTATATGTTATCATTAGTAGTCCTTTGAGGAACAACTGGCAAACATTTCCTACACTGTGGGTCGTCTCTTCATTCTGTTGGTGATTTCTCTTGCTGTGAAAAAGCTTTTTAATAAGATGCTATCCCAGCTTTGATTCTTTGTGATAATTCCTGTGTGATCGGGGTTTTATTCATAGAGCCTCCACAAGTGGCTTCAAGTTTTACCTATTCTTTTTTTTTTTTTTGGTCTTTTTCATTTTTATCGGTACCAGGGATCAAACTCACAACCGCCTGCTTGCAAGAGGCAGGCACTTATGCTGCTGAGCTAAATCCCCAGCCCCAAGTTTTACCTATTCTATCATCCAGCAGATTTAATGTTTAATATTTAGATCTTGATCAATTGCAAATTTAGCTTAGTGCATGATGAAAGATATGGATCCAACTTTAATCTTCAGCATGTGCACAGTCAGGTTTTCTAGTACCACTTATTAAAGAGATTATCTTTCTTCCAGTGAATGTGTTTGGCACCTTTGTCAGAGAAAAGGTGGCTAAGTGTGTCTGGAGTTGTTTCTGTGTTTTCTAATCTATTCCATTGATCCTTGGGTCTGTTTTCCCCCTAGTACCATGCTGTTTTTATCACAGTAGCTCTGTAGTATACTTTTAAGTTGGGGATTGTGATGTCATTTGCCTTGCTTTTATCACCAAGAATTTCCTTTGCTATTCTAGGTCTCTTTCATTTCCAAATTAATTTTAGGATTGTTTTGTCCAAATTTGTGAGATATGCTATTGGAATTTTGATCAGAATTGCATTAAATCTGTGTGACAGTTTTGGAAGTATGAAGGCCTGCTTATTTATTTATTTTTTTTGGTACCGGGAATTAAACTCATGACCTTGCGCTTGCCTGGCAGGCACTTGTGCCACTGAGCTAAATCCCTGGCCCTAGGCCCAACTCATTTAAATGTTAATCTTTTTCACAGTACATTCATGGAAATAACTAGAACATCCTTGCCAATATCTGCATCCTGTCTGGCCCAGCCAAACTGCCATGTAAAATCAACCACTGCAGAATCTCAAGAAGATGAGGTTCATGTCAAGAAGACATGAACCTTGGAGCAGTCTAAGGCCAGACATTTATTGTGGATGTCTGCCTTCACCTGACAGACGAGGGCTGGAAATCTGAGATGCATTTGGACATTTTGACCACTTACCATGGTCTTTTGTTTCAGCTCCTTTTTGGGCCAGGAAACCACTGACCTACTCTGCATTCAGTGAGCAGAGTAGGTCAGTGAGAGGGACAAAGCCTGTAAGCCATTCATTTTCTGTGAGGCAGTACATCTCTCTGGCAGGTCAGTGGTAATCAGTAATAGGTGTATGTGCCTTCTCAGAAACCTTCCATCACTACTTCTAGGCCATATCAGTAAGTAAGGAGCAAGCCCAGGGACTGAGACAGGGTAAAAAACCAGCAGCCCTCCACCCTCACTATACACAGAGCTTTACTGCATGCAAGGGTGTCCTGCATCGTTGTGTGACAGGTATGTCCCAGCCAGGGGGAGATAATCATAGGCATAGTATGTGGGGAATTTTCCTGGTGCTGGCTTAGACATACATGTAAATCAAGCTCCCCAAAATACTGATGGATACCACATAAGGTCGTAGGATTTTAAATTTGAGGAGAGGCAAGAGGGAGATCAGTGATGCATGACAAGAATGACCCCCTGGAGCAGAAAGCGTACTGAGAGTGCACTGGCCGTCCCTCAGTGCCACGGCCACTTTTGACTTTGGGACCGCGATCTGACCTTCTTGTTTATGACCTACAGCTTTGCTTCGGCAAAGTTTGCAAACAAAGGCAGAAACGGAATCCGTTAGCAGGCTCGGAATGTTTTCTAAAGCCCCGGGAAGCCTGCGAGTGAGCTGTGGATTACGGATCTGTCATTTGTGTCTGAGGGTCTTCAACTCAAAGCACTTACATCAGCTTTCCTCACTGGGGTAGCTCACTGCCAGTGAGGTCAGTGTCTTCTTATTAGTAGGAAGCTTACTTCATTAACTGTTTATTTATGAACTCAGTAGCACTAAAGCCTTACCCCCAAGGCTGTGATCCCCTCTTTGATGTAGTATCTTCTTGCCATTGTAACTAAGGTGTGACTTAGGAGTTATAGAGGATGTGTGGACTCCTTTTCTGTAGAGAAATATAGAGAAAAATGATACTAGTTATTTTTCAGAAAGGCACTTAAAGTGGGAAGACTTTAAAAGCTTGTGGCTTCAGCCCACTGATATCTGTCTCTACCAAACAGCTAATCATTTCCTGGCAAAACCCAAGAGCTGTCTCTCAGATTTTCTCCTTATATCATGGCCTTTAGAGAAGGCTAAATAGATACCTCTTGAAGTTGTCACCTTGCTGTCATTATTTTCATCTTTTCTAGGTATTGTCTATTCTCCCAAGTCCAGGGGGGTTGCTCAAGTTTGGCTTCCTAATCTCTGTGTTTGAGGTCTACAAAACTACCTGTAACTACTCACAGCTGGTTTGACAAGGGGTGGACATCCGGTTCCAGCTGTAACAGTCAATTCCGTCCCTGGAAAACTGCATTTGGCATGAAGATAACATGTCTGACCATGAGCCTGTCTCTTGGACCAGAAGGAGTAGTGCTGCTATATTCTACCTTGTGGAAAGAGGCGTGGAGGGGAGCCCAGGGTAAGGAGATGGAGAGGGGTTTCCTTAGAAATTCTGATGGCTCATATGCCCAGGATTCCAAATGCATCTTTGAAATATATCGCCCTCTCCACTTATAAACCCCAGTGTGAGAGGATAAAACATCAAGTGAGAATTTTCAGTGTTCCAGAATAGAGGCTGTATCTCAGGGCTTGGAACAAAAGGCAGTGTTTTACACCTTAAATTCACAGAGCTGCCGAGGTTAACAGTTGGTAGCTTTCTCCAAAGGCTGATGGAAGGTGCTGGCTCAGAGGAAAGGCTGAGGTCAATTGAATGCCTGTCCCCAGCTGTCACTTCTCTTTCCCACGCTAGCTTCACATGTTGTCTTGGGATTCACAGTGCTTCCCTCCCTGCCGCCCTGGCACTTGTAGGAGAAGGCTCTGTCCTACCTTACTGACACTGGACGTAACACTGGGCTGTGCTTTGACTGATGGAACAGCACCAGCCAGGTCTGAACCAGTCTGAGTCAGTCTGCTAAGCACCAGCCAGGTCTGAGCCAGTACTTACCTGTGCTGCGAGATGGTTGCTTTCCAGGAGCTGCTGCTTTTTGGTGGGGATCCCAGAATGAAGACACATGGACCAGGGCTGCAGCTGTGTAATGGCATTGAACAGGTAAGTGGGGGGCAAATCTTCATCCTCATAATTATGCAGTTTTGTAGTTGTTACATCAGAGAGTCTGGCTGAAGTCCTAGTACAAAGGAACACTGAAGGCTGTGTGGAAGGGAGACACTGGGAAACCACTGTGTCTGAAGCAAAAGAAGTTCAGGTCAACTCTCAGAAAATAGAGGAACCCTTTCCCTTCTCTGTGGATGTCTGTCAGTGGAGAGGTGCTGACTGCTTGCTTTGCATTGACTGCACAGCAGAAGGGAGAAATGGAGGACACTGTCCAGAAAGAGCACCCTTCCCCAGCAGGAGCACAGGACTCAGCCGCCCCTGCAAGTGTGGTTGCAAAGGAAAGGCTGGTGGCAGAACTTTGGAGAAAGCTATGAACTTGTAACCTCAATAACTCTGCAAATTTAAGATGCAAACCATGCCTTTTGCCCCAAGGTGGCCATAGGAATAACAGATGAGAGCAGGGCTACAGTTTTGCAGAGAATTCCATTAGATCAGAACCGGATGGCCAGGAAGCCAAGGAGGCTCAAATCTGAGGAACAGAGCTAGCCTCTACCAACTTGCATGTCCAGAAAGCAGAGTTTTGCTAATGGATGAAACCATCAGAAGCAGTGTTAACTCCCATTCCTAAAAATCAATGTCTCCATAACTGGGCCCCTAAGCTTGCCCCAGTGAAGTAGATTTTTATGCTTGGTATCAAGTCTCATACACAGCCCTGTTTCTGCTTGGTTCATGATTTTTGCTCCCGAAAAGAAATTGAGACAGTGGCTGATGGAGGTGAGCATTAGTAAGCACAGAAATCCTCTTCAGCCAGAGTACAGCTGCTGTAGGGAATGGTGTAGATGCAGCCCCAAGGACAAAGAAGCCAGGCAAATGGCATCCCCTCCCTCATCCCAGCAGGTGGCAGCCCACAGACGCCATGATCCTCAGGATGACTGTGGGAAGAGCAGAGCCTTAACTGTGTCTACAGACTGTGACATCCATGTCACAGTGGCTGTGACATCTATGACGTGCCCACACATCGAGAGGCTTCTCATCTTTCATTGGCTTAATGTGGCAGGGGGTTGGAACTCACATAAGTGGAGTGTGTGACTTCTTTTGTGTATGTATCCATTTGCAAAGTATAAGCAAGCAATAATTTTGTAAATAAATTTGATATGTCTACGCACGAAAGAGGGAATCAAAAACTGTGGACGGGCCACATAGGCTCCTGGCAGTTATCCCTCTAGAAGGGGCGAGAGCTGGTTTGTACCATGGGTTCAACAGGTAGAAGGGGTGGGTGGTTAATTACCACTGGTGGTTGTTTATCAGCAACCACTGATGCCATTTGTAAGCAGTCACTGAGTGAATTAGTGATGAGTGTAAGAAGTAGCCAAATGTCCCATGGGAGGAGACAGCTCACATCCAGCAGACACCACGTGGCCAGAACAAGCCCTAGATGATTCTCCACATTGCCGTGAGGACTACAGGGGCTCACCCGATTCTTCGCATTAACTGTGTTGGTACATTTTAATGGTGAGAGAAAGGGTACATAGATAAGGACCAAAACCTCCATTATTCTGGGAGCACACAGGGGTCCATTTAAGGAAATACAGCAATATATTGGAAGACAAAGAAAGCAAGCCCAAGAAGACCTACAGAGAGTTTAGGAAGCACAGTTTCCTTTGCAGAAAGCACGGTGTGCAGCCAGCTTGGCCTCCTGGCCTTGGAGCATCACACTGAGCTCTCTGGGGATGGCAGAGCTGAGCATCTGGAGGCCCGGGATGGAGGAATGAAGGGGGACAGACCCTGCAATGTTGCGGGAGCTGCAGTGACCCGAAGGGGGACCTGTTCCACCCAGGACCCTGGTGGATGTGTCCCCAAGAACCCTGATAGTCTCTTAGTGCGGCTTTTGCCCTAGGACCCCAGTGTTTGTGACTGTGAGCCCCAGAAGCTGCTTCTACCAAGGAGCCCAGCAGCTTCTGCAGCTGAGAAAACCACCTGCTTCCACCCTCTGCAGGGGTCTCAGCACTCTACCTTCCCACTCAATGGAGCCACCCAGGGCCATGCGGCCGCTCCAGCTGTGGCTAGCAGCACCAGCAGTCCCGTCCCCTCTCCCTGGAGCCTCTGCAGCTTTCCAATCGTGGCCACCAGATAGAGAGACACTTGCAATGGGCTTTGGATCCTCCAGGTGTCTATCTATACTGCCCATTTCCCCAGAACCAGCCGCGACGCTACTTCTGCAGGTTTTCTAGCTCAGGCACCCAGTGCAGCTGCCTGCAAGGCTCTGGGGCTCTCTGCAGGCTCCGATGCCACTGCTACCAACAGAGAGAGATTTAACCCCTATGGCCTGGCAGCTGCACGCTGTCAACTTTGGCCTGGACAGGCCACCTTGTCCACAGAGCTGGTGCAACTGCTAGCCCCACTCTCACCCACGTGCCCGCACCATTGCAGATCCCGCAGCCTCACGTGTGAGCACCTCTAGCTGAGCCTAGTCGCCACCCATGATGCAATCAGTCTGCTGCCTGTGCTGGCCACTGGAATCATGCACACGCAAGTCATCAGCCCCCTTGCCATGTGTGCATCTGCAACCAGCTCCAGCCTCTGCCTCCTGTGCGAGTCTGTGGCTGACTGTTGCTTCCACACCTCAGTAGACACCACTGTGTACAGAGTGTGTGCACAATGTCACCTCTAGTCTCCATTTCTTGCCATCGCACAGCCTGGGCTCCAGACGCCACACACAGCCAAGGTGCCCACTGCCTCGAGCAGAGCTCTCATAACTCTTGTCCTCAAGACCTGTACAGGTGCCAATGCTGGGGAACCCAGCTGCCTGGGCAACGAGACTCAGCAGCCTTCTGGACCTGGAGTCACCACCTGCCCCAGTCTTGGTGTCCCACGATGTTACAACCAGCACATAGCACATCAGTCTACCTCCCTTCTCCTGCCTGCCTCTGCTGGGGGAGACCTTTTTTACTGAGGCCAGTCCCTGTGCTTTTGAGAGGTGGCTCCTCTATCAAATGCACAGGTATATTTATAAAGCTATAAAGCAGCATGTGGAATAAGAACGACATGGCACCACTAGAGGAAAGCAATGATCTTCCAGTGTCTGGTCCCAAAGAATGGACAACCTACTGACTGCCTGGCGAAGAGTTCAAAATAATTGCTCTAAAGGAACTTAGCAAATTATGAGACAACATATACACTGTTTAAGGAAATCAGGAAAAGACTATAAGAATGAAGGAAGAAGCTAAACAAAGACATTGAAACAAAAAGAACTGACAGTAATTTGGAGCTGATGAATAGAAGGACAAGTGGAAAACTTCAGTAGAGAACTCTGACTGCAGTGTAGACCAAGCAGAAGAGTAAATGAGTGAACTGAAGATAAATCATTTGCAATTATTTAGTCAGTGGAGAATAAGGAAAAAGAATGAAAAATAATAGAGAAAAATTGTGGGATTTATGGGACATTGTCAAGAGAGCTGACATTCATATCATGAATTCATATGACATTCTTATAATAAGAATGTCAAGGGGAGAAGGGAGAGTTTATTTACAGACATACAATGCAGAAGACAGAACAGCACAGAATCTGGGTAAAGACAAAAATATCCAGGCAAGGGCTTAGAGATCTCGGCAGTGAATTCAGAACACAGTCTAAGTGTTGAAAGGAAAAACAAAGTAACTGCCAAAAAGCACATTTTACCCCAGAAAGCTGTCCTTAAAGATGAAGAAGAAATGAAGACTTTCCCAAACAAAAGCAGACAAAAAAAAAAAATCTAATATCATGGCTTGCAATGGTAGGAAGAATTCTTCAGGATGATGAAGGCTCCTAATTAGTGTAACATGAAGACATATGAAAACATAAAGCTCTCTAGCAAGGTAAATACTCAGACAAATTAAGAGCATTCTATGATTGCGCAAAGCCTTATAATTCTAGTACCAGACTATTTTTTAAAAATTTATTTTAAAGAGGATAAAACCAAGGAAAATAAAACAGAATAAAACCAATCAAAACAAACCAGTATAAATGATACAGAACTTCAAAACATGAAATCAACAATGGCTACCATAATGCCTTTTATTGTCTTCAAAACAGCCGTTTTGAATATAGTAAAAATCAAACAGAATAGAAACAACAAAAACAAAACAACAAATTCAGTAAAGGACTTCAAAACAAGACAATAGTATATTCAAAATGACTACCATAATATATCTTGCTATCTTTGAAACAGCTGTTCATGCCATCGGATTTAAAATAATCAAACAAAACAAAAGAGGATAAAATTCACCCCCCCAAAAACAATGAAAATGATATAGGACTTCAAAACAAGGCAATAGAGAATCAACAGTGACCATCACCCTCAGAAGATCCCCCTAGATGCCACATTGTGTACCACTCTCCTCTGAACAGACGACCAGCCCACTGGTCCTAGACCTGCAAGGTCAGTGAAACACCAGTGCACCACAGGCATCTAATTGCATTTCACCTCAATAGTTATCATCACAGCCTGTGTTTCTCTGGATCAGCTGGTCACTTATGGGGTTAAGGGGGTTGGCACTTCTTGTTTGTCAGCCCAGGTGGGGCTTGCTTCCTGGTGTGGCCTTGTTCTCTCCCCCTGCAGTCTGCGATGGCACAGGGACTCATGGGGAAAGGTTTGGGTCCGGCTGTCCCCACTCCAGGGGTGGCCAGTGCCTAGTACCAGACTATTAAAGATAACTAGAGATACATTAACCTGATAAAGGATAAGTAATATAAAAAGATGTAAATTGTAGCATCAGAAACATGAAACATGAATGTAATAAAAATGTGGAACTTTTGCTTGTGAAAAGTTAGCTTTTATCAGCTTAGAACAGTCTGGTCTAGACAATATGTTTTACGTAAGCCTATATTGACTACAAAGGTAAAACCTGTCGTAGATGCACAAGAGGTAAGAAGGAAGGAATCAAAGCACATCACAACAAAAACTCAACAAATCACAAAGAAAGTGAGATCTAAGAAG